CTGTGCGTGGAATGAGAATCGAAAACATTACGTAACCTTCTTTTAATCTCAACACGAATATAATTAATTACAATGGAAGAAAAAACGCTGCTTAATTTTATAAATATGCAAAGTAAAAAATTTTCGTTTAATTAAATTTCACTGGGAATCATTAATTTGGATATTTACTGCCTACTGTTATGTTTAAAGTTTATTTTTATTAACTGTGCACGTAAAGGTACTGTAAACTTGGTAAGTAGGTATCTATGTATTGAAAATATATTGGAATTTTGTTGGTCACTTTTATTATCCCACTAGCTGTTCTAGATTTCGTCAACAGTTTAAGTTGTAGGATATATGTAGAATTGTTTAATAAATGAAAACGGACCTCGATCAGAATTTTGGGAAAAGCCAGCTACAGTCCTAACTAAGTTATCCACACTGTATCAGTCAAAACATTTTAAAGAAGAGAAAAAAATTGATCCTGACAGGTCTCAATAATGTTGAATTCTAACATAAAAAATTAATTATTACAATTGTTCCCTTTAACAGCCCTTTTTGTAGGTAATAAATTGCCATTGTCATAAGAATATTTTATAGAAACTGAACAAACTGAAACGAATAAAAGTTTTCTTCAGTTCTCTAAATCATTAATAACTTACATCGTTAGCTTTTAGTTTTCCATTATAATAGATTTAATGACAATGATTTACCACGACTGTATAATGAAATGAATAAATGGTTCTAGTACAATCACAAGAACGTGAAATGTTAACAAGTCTTTTAATCCAAGAATATTTGCACTTATATATATATATATAAATGCAAATAATACCTAATACTAGGAAACGACCAGGAATTTATTTTCATTAAATTGGTATTTGTTTTATAACTTTCCCAACTACGCATTTTAAAAAGAAAACTTAAACGAACTGTTCAAAAGATTGCTAAAGAATATTCTCCTCGTTCATATTACCAACTAAATATAACGCAATCTATAAAGACGCCCTGCTTATAAGAACTTAGCATTACTTATGTATTGGTTATTGAAAAACATGGAAAATTGCAAAAACAAAATCAAGATCGACGCAAAATGGATTCTAGAAATCTCAAGTAGGACATCGAAAAAACACTCATTGGAGTTGATTTATTAAAGCGTCTATAATATCGAGTAAAAGCATTAGAAATCAATTTTGTCTGGTTATATTTGTTATTTAGGATCTAGGTTACATGAAATTTTACTGGATCTACTTATAAATGCCACACAGACCTTTTTTTGGATAAATTTACATTTTGGTTTAGGAATATTCTCAGTAAGTTTGAGCAGTCTGGCCAAATGGCATGAGTATAACGGTACTCACCGTCCAAATTTGGACTACCTCTACTAGTAATCAGTACAAAGGACAGTGGCGTAGTGTGGGGAGAGGGCAAAGGGGGTCATGATCCCCGGGCGACGCAAATATGGGGGCGGCATAGTAATGTTAGATATTCTTGGTATTTGCACCATGTAGAAAGACATTACAGTCTTGGTAGACAAAAATACCATGATTTTTGTGTTGATAAAAACTAGGAAAAGCAACTATAAATTTCATATATACTATCAACAAAATGATGCAGAATCCTGAGTTATTCAAACTTGAAGACAATAAAAATACTGAAGATCCGATATAATCTATTTGAGGAACCGAAATCTTTGCATCTTGAGATGAATCCTCAAAACCCTCTTCCTATTCTGAGCCACAGGGACGTTTTCGTAATGAGTAATGTAATAAACGATAAATAGTAAATATGAAGCGTAATCGTTCAACTTTTAGGGATAAAAAGTAAATAATCGAACAAAAGCTTATTATTTATTAATTAAATATTTTCCAAAAGAGAAAGTCTTGGAAATTTATTAAATAAATTGTATCCATGGATATCTTACACTTCATCGATATATTTCGTTTTTGTCATCTGTCCGAGTATTTCTATTATTTTTATAATTTTTTTTGACG